CCTATCTACCGAATATTTAATTATATTAAATTATATTATTATTAAATATATATAGTATATATATGTATATGTGTTATATATATTCTATATATTTGCATTATATACATATATTTCATCCTTCCGTCTAGAATAAAAATAAACATCCTAAATGGTTTATATTTCGAAAGTCGCCATGATTATTTCGATCTTGCGAGAATTACGATGACTATATCGAAGATCGATTTATCGAAGATCTGTATTTCAATAGATCGATCTTCGATAGAGTTCAAATCGCTCAGAAAATTTGTTACAATTATCCATAAAGGAAAAGTGGTGGCGAAAATTGGTAACATTTTATCATAATTTCGCGCTATCAATGCTCACTTCCGAGGTGTATTGATAGCGTTAGCGATAGCATTTGCGAACTTGACATGAACAGGACGGTAGCAAAGACGATAGCGTTATCTTGGCTCTGTGAATGGTATTGATAGCGCGGTAGTAAATTTCCCGAATGCACCCAATAATCAAGCCTTCGTTGTAATGAGAAAAAAAAAAACGATTTTGCATGGGTGATTCGATAAGAAACCGAGTACGCTAAGTATATTCATATATGTAACGTCTATCGAGTAGATTCACGTCAAACTTGCGAAAGTGTCACACGTTTGAATTGCGTAATTCGAATACCTCGCTAATTTCTCAATGTCGTTGCGATTCGATGCAAGTTCGTTCAACATTATAATGAAGCGTCGACTCGGCAAATTACATCGAAACTGTAAAGTGTCATTAACCGAGTTCAAAGTGCGGTGCGACAGGGAACTGGTGGAATGCCGAAAATCAAATGTAAGTTTAAGAATATGTATTGTATTTATCTAATCAAAATACAAAATGTTATGTTGTCAAAGTTTTTTAGTTTCTTACTATATTATTCTTTTAATCAAATATTAAAGTGATATTCGAATTCGAATTACAAAAGTTTTTAATATGCGAGATATACTGTATCTCTTAATTATAAAGAATCAATAATTAAATCAGTGATAATAAAATCCAACATTGGGTGTACATGTTGGCAATGATTTAAATTAATTTACATTAATTATTGATTTTATCTAAGGAATCTTTCTTATGATTAAAAGAAAATTATAATAAAATAATGTGCACAATAGAAAGATAGTATAATAAAATAATATTAACGATATTATTGATAAGGTATTAATAAAGTTATTAATAAAATGTTTATGACATACAAAGATTTGATAAAATTCTCAGATTTTAACGAGGACAAATATTCTTTTTTTAAGCCGATGACAAAATCAAAATCGTTGATCTTTCATGCGTGTACAACGAAGATCCGGTTCATATCCAATATCACGGTCTGATGCTTAAGGGCGTGGCCAATCAATTAGGAAGATGGCCAAATGATCTTTTCGGCTTATTCATGGCAGCGTCTCTCGTTATTAGTAGTTTTGTTCTTCTTGCCTTCGTCACGGCGATATTTTGTTTACCCATAGCGAGTGATGTTAATTGCTGGTATATAATTATCGACGATTTAACAAATTAATCTTAATACTTTTAACAAATTAAAGATATGCAATGAGTATGAATGAAATGAGTATGAATTAAATGATCTTTACAGTTTAGTTCAGAGATATTAGAATTTAATTAAATATTATAATATAATTATAATTTATTAACATATTTTAGTGAATTGAAGGTTTCCAAAGATGAATGTTCCCTCAATGTCTATTTTGTGAAGGAAGCTACACAAGTCTGGTCCAGGGAAGAATTTTGCTATATCGAAGCTGCGGCGAGAGAACAACCCAATCTGAATGTATATAAAATATTTTTATCTCTTTTTTCTTTATTTGAAGATAATAAGCATAGGAACAAGATAATATAGTTATTTTTAATAACAGGAATAATCGCAGTAAATCTTTTATAGATACACATAATCAATTTGATACGTACTTCGGATATATTGAATACATCGGAAGTTAATCTCAAAATGGCATTGGCTATACAAAATGCTAATATTCACATCGCCAACTTCTCAATTGATAAATTTTTCAACAAGTAATAATTATTAAATTACATACATAATACTATATGATACTGAGGATGATGTACATAATTTTTTGTACAGTTTATGCACTAATATGAAAGTTCTTGATAAAGTATTAGTAAATAAAAAAAGTATTTTTTTCTTTGTAAAAAAATATGATTTTTATATTATATTATTGTTTTATAAATTCTTTAAGAATTAATTCTTGCTTAATTTAATTTTCTAAGTTACATTCTAATGGATATATAATTATGTTTGTTAGAACGGAACTATCAAGTATAGCAAAAAATTTAAGTAATGATTTGTTATTGATGGCGGCAAGAGCATATCTGCTTTGGAATTTTCCTGGCATCGCTATGCATCCCAGTGCATATTGTAATTTATCGATCATCAACAAATCTCAATGGAAGTAAGTGAACAGTCAAATAAATAATAATAAAAATTTGACATGGTTTTTATTATTTATATTTTATTTTTGCAGTAAGGTAGGAAAACGAAATTGCATGCCCGACGAATTAGCCACGATCGATCCAACGATTGATTTGCAAGCAACAGGAGTGCATTGCCAAGCATTCTTAGGTTTTTTATTACGGGAAATATCCAGGAATGCAACGCAAATTTATAATTTGAAGGATGCATTAGATAGATTTTGTCCAAAGTATTTATACCTAGACTTATATTCTTCTTAGAACTTCTATACACATTTTAATAAAATTTACAAAATAATAAATAAATTAAATAAAATATAGAAACATATAATATAACATATACACACCGAATATCATTATATTTAACTCATAAAATTTTATCTTTCTAGGATTGATAATTGTCCCGAGGTACGAGTACTTGATTTAAAATCACGATGTCCGATCAATGTTTTCGATTGTCCTACCGTGTATACATCTGAAAAATCTTGGAAACTTGCAAAATAATTTTTTTAAATTAAAAAATAACACGAATATATTTTATGAAAATATTTATAAAAATTATGATTTATAAAAACCACCACTTTATATAATAAAAAATATAACATTCAGAAAATAATTAAAAATTTATATAGATTCCATTTTAAATTTTTTATTATAAGCTAGCATGTTTTGAAGTTTCGCTGTTCATAGAGCCACACAACACCTAGCCACAACCACATTTCTGCAACTAAATATAAAATATTTAATATATATTATATATACAAGCATTTACTATGTAGAAATAAATGAAAAACGATAAACTATTAAATAATAAATAATTTAAAACATATCTCAAACATATGACATAAATTTCCTCAATAGAATATTTTTAAAAAGTTTTAAAATTTTAAATATTTCTTAAAACGTCCTATTATAATTAATTGTTTATACATTTTGTTTAGTAATCAAAGCTAATTCAATTTTTTTATCGTGAAAAAAGAAGAGATATATACGTATACTATTTTTGTCTGGAATAATTTTATTTTAGGGAAAAATAAAAGAAAGAATAATGATATATATTACGGAAAGAATAATGATATATATTACGAAAATAAAAGAAAGGAAAAATAAAAGAAAGAATAATGATATATTTACGGATCATTAGAAAAAGTCCTGTGACATAAAATAACGCGGTTTGTATTTGAAGATATTTAAAGAGATACCAAATCATTACGATTGCGTCGCAGAAATCGCATACTAGCTCAGTTAAAAAGAGGCCTATAAAAGGCAAGCTAAATCGTGGTCGTTTCTGAAATGTGTAATAATCAAGATATATAAAGTAAAATAAAAATAAGAAAGAAATACAATATATATCACTCAATAAACATATATATCTAATAATGCTGCTTACCATGATAACAGAATAAACAAGCATACTAGCTGTGATGGTGGATATTATGGAATGCAAGACGGAATAACCTAAATTAAATATCACGATAGTCTTTCTCGAGGAAAAACCACGAAGAATTTGTCCATTTTGTAAAATATTGTACTCCGTTGATCCGTGATAGCATAATATCAATATCGATAACGCCAGCAACATTGTTCTAACTATTTTGAAACCTTCATTGTCAAAAAACGTTTTTCTTTCCGGTGATTTCTCAACTTTCTCAATTATTTGAGAATTATCAAAAACTTGTTTCTTAAATAAATGAGGTGATATTTTAGTTTCAATTAGCTGCAAAAAGAAAAAATCGAGTGAAAATTAAAGACCTCTTATTTTTCAGAAAATTAAATAATACTAGGAGGTATATTAAATTCTTATATTCTTATATTCTTATATTCTTATAAATTCTTATATTCTTTATATCAAGAAACGAGATAGTAAAAATTGTTTATATATTTTTATTTATAAAAATTTATAAAAGTGAAAGTTTCATATATTTTTAGCTTAAGAATGAAATATAGAGTTTAATGCAAATGAAAAATGAATATTATGTTATATGAGATAAAATTTTATTTACATACCGTTTTTGCTCTGCGTTCTTTACAAATTTTCATCCTTTCTGGATAACCTTCATGACTGCTTTGAACGCGATTTAGTCGATAATTCATTATGTCCAATTGATAAATCACAAAAATTTCTTCACAACAGAGAAAACATACTAGCACATTCCGAAATGTACAGACATTAAGAGTGTTATTTACTCTATCATATATTACTTTTTTTAAATACAAACATGTAAATATATTGTAAAAAAAGAAATTTATCAAATTGATAAATTTGAAAACAGTATAATAAAATAAAAAGATACGGTAAATGTATTTAATGAAAAAGAAAAGTTGTGATTGATAAATATAACATAACGATGATAAACTGAAAAACTATAAATAGTTTAATTATTTTGTAATAGTAGCAAAATTCACTCGTTTCACTTCATTTGATATGATGTTATATAAATCAAGGTTAATATTTCAAAGATAAAAGCTACTTTTTAATTAACGTATTTATGAAATTTTTATATTCGAGATAATGTTATATAAAATAATTATATTAAAAATTTGTTTTTCTATAAATAAAATAAATATAAATTATCTCAAATGTACTAGACATAATAACTTGACATACATTAATCAATCGATGTTACAATTCAAATCGATTACGATATCTATCGAAAACACATCGGGCAAAAAACGAATCTCGAAAATTTACAGACAGTCTATGAGAGCATATAAATTTATTAAGCGTACATCCATTAATTGAACTTATCTTATATATCTTATATATCTTATATATCTTATATATCTGCGTTTTTTTAATTAAAAGAAGAGACACAATTTTCTCAGATTTAGAATATAAAGTTAATTATGGCTTTTCATAATCGACGAAATTTTAAAGTTTACGGTAGACACTTGGTAAATAAATATTTCTTATATTTATCCCGAAATAATTATTTGTTGTCATAATAATACTAATTTCATTAGAGGATTGGACGAATGGCTTGTTCCTTGTGCAATCATTATTTAATGGGCAGTTCATTATACGTGATCTTTTTGGGCTTCATTGGGACCGTTAGTCCATCGTAATACTCTCATGATGCTAGTTATTGTTTAATTATTTAAATATGCAGATAAGAAAGAAAAGAATGTCTAAGTGTCATATATTATTAATGCAAAATTTCGTCAGGTAGTCACAGCTCTTGACATAATACGCACAATAAATTATAAAATTCCCAGAACGTCATCACATCACAGGAATAATCAAGAAGGTAATAATGATTTTATATCGTCAAATAATATTTTAAAATATTTAGATGAATCTTAATTCTACATTTATAGCAATGCATATATATTAACAATAAATAATTATTGCAGTGCCGTTTACTATTGAAAGAGATTTGAAGTTGATGACATCGATTCTGGGAATCGAGCATTACACTTTAATTATGTTAGGCGCCATTACAGTAAGTAAAGAATATAAAAATTGTAACGTTATAAATTTATTTTAAAAAACTTACAAAAATAATTATTATTTCTAAATAAATATATTTTTTCGCTTTGGCAGGAATATCCTATGTTGCACACGCCCTGGTTGCTCATGCAACTCTGTGTTATCATCGTGGAGATTATTGTCTTCTTCGTGAGATTCTTTCTAGACGGTTTGCACGTCAAGCGTAATGAAATATTACAAGCAATATTTATTTTACACAATTGGTTGCAAGTCTTCTGTCTTTTTCATCAGCAAGTACGACAAATTGTTTAGAAAATTGTACTGTTTTTACTAAATTATTATATATCTATATATGTCAATATGTATTGAATAGAGATGTAATATTCATTTGGATATTTATAAATTCGATTTTTAAATAGTTAATTAAAATATTTTTAAGTCTAATTTACTAATTTCTTAAAAAAATATATTTAATTTGTTTGAAATTAATCTAAAATATTAATTAAATATTAATATTAATTATTAATATTAAAACTAAAAATTAATATTTTAATTTACTTTACAAATTTACAATCATTGTATTTAATATTTAATTTATTTATTTCTCACATCCATCCCTTAATTTTAAGAAGTTTTTTTTATATCTTCATTATAAAATTATCACAAAAAATTACATAACATAAATTAAATTTATATAAAGAAATTTTTATTTAAACAAATTTAAATCTAATTTATTTTTATAAATTATGTCATGCTTGTAATATCTTTAAATATTTATAACAATAAAAGTATCTTTACTTATTTAACTTTATTATATTACAATTTACACAGGTTTGGTAAATTCCTTCTTATATTTATAAAATTATTTTTTTTTCCTTTAAATTAACCTTTCTTAAACTTGAGTAGCAATAACGCCAAGCTCATAAAGATGCTGATCCAAATGAAAGTGGCGATAAAGCCGTAATAAACCGTCGGTTCTGTTATCGGCCAACCCCTGGCCAATATCGCCCTCATTGATTCCGTACTTTTCGTTAGAGGTAACACGAAACTAATATATTTCAAGATGGGATGCATGCCCTCTATGGGCCATATAATGCCACACAACATCACAATTGGAAGAAAGCTGCCCATCGCTACATACGTAGCGCTTCTCTCATTGTCACAGAAACAGGCAATTACAAATCCTAAAAAATTTAATTCGTGTATTTAGACAGCTTTAAAAAAATTAAAATATATATATAAACGAAACAGATGTAATAGTATTTTCCATAATAAAAAAACTTTTTTTTTTATCATTTCTTATTTTTCAATTACCAAAACACATGCCGCATAAGCCCGTGAGAACGGTTAAAAGACCGATCCATCCGATCTCTCCCTCGCAAGTAACCTTGAAAATTGGAAATGCGACTATGATAACCATCACACTTTGCCCGAACATCACCGTGAACTGCGTGATCACTTGACCGAAAAGGATCTCTGTGCCAGTAAGACCTAAAAAGAATTACAAAGTTATTTATTTATCAATCCTAAGATTGATAAATTCTTTCTCAAATTCAGAATACAGATTTGTATATTTTACAATTTGTTGCTTTTATTTTTAATTAAAATACATCTTTGACTTTTCTATATTTCTATATACTTATTTTCTTTTTATTAAACAGACCTGACACGAGACTTCTTTCCAACAAACCCTCATTTCTCTCCAATAACATGGCGCCTGATGTCAATGCAACTGAGAGAAAGAAAACGATTCTGGAATAATACAAATTTGTTCAATTTATACAATCTTGATAAATTTTCCTTGAAAGAAAACAATTCCAATGTACGAATGTTATATATACGTTGAGCACTTACGTTAGAATTATTCCAGGAGCCGCAAAATCCGTGAAATTAGGATTTTCAGGCCCGTAGATCGGTGTATGGAACTAATAAAAAAAGAAATTACTAATAAAGATTATAATGAAAAAACAATAAAAAAAATCTTATTAAAACGTTATACCAGTAAAATTTGATCAAATTCATCTCCGCTATATTATAAATGCAAATTATTTACTTACGTTGACGGGTATGCTAGTTAATTTTGCACTATAATTGCAGGCCACAGTAACCTCCCTCGCAAAGTCTTGATATGCATAAAGCAGATCTCTTTGCAACAATTGCCCTATTTGTTGATCTGCAAAGATATTTCATGTCACAGCAAGCGTTTGCAACTGAAAACTTGGAAGCATTGTAACATTTAATTATGTTGAAAAATGTTTATTTTGCGTTTATACATAAAAATATAAAAGAAGAATATAAAAATGTAAAAAAAGAGAAGATTCCATTCTATAAAAGACTTACTGGACATATCCATGACAATTTTCATCTCTGCAAAATTGACATCCCAGTCCTCGGCATCTCTGCCGTAATCTATCCTAGCCATGAGAGCGTCGGAATAATTGTACGGAAATGTTATAGCGCCCCATGCCCAGCCTTTCTCCACCGCATGCTGGGCTTCTTCCTCAGTGTCGTAAGGTAATAACTTTATGGTTTTTTTCTGCAAATGCTGAAGATATCTACAGCTCAATAGCGTCCAATCGCATCCGATTCTAGGGATGCACGGTTGCATGCTGTTGTTGAGCTCGTTGTTGACAATAGCTAACTTTAATCCTACGGGATCCTTACCAATAGAGATGCAAAAGAGAAGTATTTGAGCGACCGGCAGACCGATGATAAACAACATCATTCTGTTAGACAAAAGTGAACATAAAAATAAAAAAAATGAAATTAAAGTATTAGAATGAAAGAGTATAGATAAATAAAAAATGAAAAAAGATTTGATGTAGAAATATGATTGAACAAATTACCCGACGTTTCGCCACATCCATAGAAAATTTTTCCAAATTAAGGCCTTCACTGTGCATTGGATTAATCATAGTAAACTTAGAAGAATCACTTTTTTCTTCTGGCGGCAATGTTGGCACCTTAAAAAGTATACACAATATATAAATATTAATAATCATATAAAAGATTATCTGAGTTGGAAAATAATTACTATCAAAATAATAATTACACAGCGCTACTTTATAAATAATTTTAAATAATTAAAAAGTACTATGCATAATATATAAGAAATTATTACATGGCCATCATCTACAATGACTATACTTTTCCGTCGACTAGATACGCTCACATTATCACCGAATTCACCACTCATCTCATCATCTCCGTCCTGCAAAACGAAGAGAAAATAAAAAAATATCTCAATAAGACAAAAAAAACAAGTACCAAAATTATACGATGAAATATTAAGAGTCAAGATAAGTCAAAATTTCTTCATGTTTGTACTTACATCTTCCGGCGGAACACCTGTTATACTACTTAGAATACTACTTCTCCTTCTTAAGCCCAGATTTTGCCTTTTACTTAGCTTTAGAAAGACCTCTTCTAAAGTATCCAGACGGTGCATCTCCATCAGCTTCGTTGGCGATTCTTCCGCCAGAAATTTACCATTTCTCATCAGGCCAATAATGCCGGCTTGTCTAGACAATGGCGATTAATTTTTTTCGTAATTTTTATAATTTTTATTTATTGAAAAAGAAATTTTTATTATGTAATCCTGATAATATTAGCAAGTGAAATCGTGTAGGAAGCGATTTTAATAATCGTACGCTTGATGGATAAATTTTGATTACATCAGGGCATGATTATAATTAATTTTTTATGATTCTAATTAAAAACTATAAAATTCATTGAGAGATTTAATTTGTAGCGCTTCTTGTACAATTAATAAAGCAAGGTTCGATTTTGTTGTAAGGTGAAAGTTGTAAAGAGAGTGAAAGTATCGACTGTATAAAATACCAATGTCATAAAATGTAATAAAAATGTTAGATATAATGATGTTAAATCTAAGAATTATATGACAACTCACCTAGTTTCTTCGATGTAGTGCGTGGTAATAATTATAGTCTTGTTACCATCTTTGGTGATGTGCACCAGATGGTCCCATATGCTCTGTCGGAGAACGGGATCCACTCCAACTGTCGGCTCGTCTAGGATCAAGAGTTCTGGATCGGCTAAGATAGCAGTTGCTAGGGATACCCTTCTTTGCTGGCCACCGGATAAATTTTTGACGAAACGATTTTCGGACGGTAGTTGCAAAAACTGTAATTAGAGAATCACTGAAAGACATTACTGGTCTCCGGAATTTTACTCTGCAATAAAACAAGAAAGAAGTAAGATGAACGTGATAGATTCTTTTTTCAGGAGTTTTATCTTTGGTGGAATTTGTAGGAATTAGAATATGTTGAGCATTCTCTTCAAAGTTTTATTCTCTACCGGAAAAAAAAAAAGACAAATTTTCCATTATCAAAATCTCTTACTTTCAGCAAAAAGTCTAGCTTTTCGTCCACTTGTTCCGTCGTCATGCCGGCGCACCAGCCGAAGTAGATGAATGTTTCTCGAATGGAGAACTCGCCGTAGAGCGCAATCTCTTGCGGCATGTAGCCGACCCGAGGACCGGGTACACCGGATCCCTTGGAGCCCGGTCGGCCTCCTAATACCCAAATTTCGCCAGAATTCAAGCGTCTCCGACCAACGATGCATGACAGTAAAGTGGTCTTTCCGCAACCGCTTGCACCAAGCAGCCCATAACTGTTGTAATAAAATAATTAATTAAAGGCGAAGTAGACCAGAAATGAATAAGAAATCTTTCAACCGGTGTAAAAAGCTTATTTGATAATAATATTAATTTAAGAAACCTCTGTAAGAATAATAATAGGGACCTCTCTAAGTGTTAAAGATTTTTATATTATATTTCACAGACAAAAAATACATAAATACATATGTTACTTCTTCCCGTATCTTTAATAGTCTTTTACATTAATGTAAAGCTTAGATATCACGTTTAGATTACCTATTTGGTAATGTTAATAATTAAACTCTTCACTTACGTATACTTATCATTTTTTAATTTATATAATCGTTAAAACACTTAGAACTTTTTTCTATAATTTAAGTTCTTTCTATAAAATATCTAGAAAAGAATTTTTATTAATAATTAATTTTTAATTTTCACTAAGACCGATTGACAAATGCTTACATCGTGCCCTTCGGCACGGTCATATTGAGACCGTCCAGGATGACATTGGGATTTTTCTTGGACCCATATTTCTTGAAGGCCCTCCTTACGCAAACCGCCTGCCTTCTTCTCGTGTCCAAGGTCGACACTTGCGTCTGGAATTGCTGTCTTCGTGTTTTCAACTCCATCAGCGTGTTCGTTGTGCTCGCACTTTCCATCTCTATATTCGAAAGAGAAATAGGGTCAGATCTTTCCACTCGATTCATTCACATCCGTTCTCTTCCTCTTCTTTTCGATTTTTAGTATTGGGCACGGAATTAAAATCAATCTAACTTTCTTCCTTTGGCATGATTGTGATAACTGCATCTATAATTTTACATCTTTTAAATTGTCAAATGATAAATTATAGCGCTATGCGATCCACTCCGGAATCTGTCCACGCGTGTTCGGAGTCTTTTGCTCCGGCTGGACCGGTCAGATAAGTGAGAGTGTCTGTTACCGCGTTACATCATTGACAATTTACCGATATATGCTGATCATATATAGTATATGCACAATCAAATAATAAACAATTCAACCATGTACAGTTTGAGAATATGATTAATTAGTTGTTTATCACAGTTTTCGTGATTAATTTGCTGTATAAACACTAAAAGAAATAATCAATATATCATTTCCAATAAAAATGTTTTTGTTCGAATCGAAGAATATATATGATTACATATTTCATTTTATATTTTATTCTCCAGAACATATTTTATAATCATATTAATATTTAAGGATTTATATAATATAAGCAATCAATTTTAAACGCTGATGACAAAACGATTTATTTTCAGAAGACGAGAATTCAACATTCATCGGTCTCCTCTTTTCGATTTATAAAAACCATGAAATGAAATTAACATGTGGTTATATGGACTTTTTGTACTTATTTGTTTGCAATTTCTTCTTTTGAAGAAATTCGCAAATTTGATGACTCGATAATATTTCTAGACTACAAGGTGCACTTCTTGATTCATTGAGAAATCATTGCGTTATACCGCCTTTAATTAGGTCATATTGCCAAGAGTTTCATTGGCTTCCTCGTGTGGCAATTGCTTTTATTACATTTTCGATACACTGTATGCGATAATAATGTTTATGAAAAAATATAAAAACATTTCAAAGGCTTACGCTTATTTCTTCGTACATATGTAAAATTTTATTTCATGTGTTATCATTACATATTATTTTTATTCAATTAGTTAATCAAATATTGCTTTCTATATGTTATAAAATTAAAAATATCTTATTATAATGTTAAAAATATTTTACAGAAATGAAAATGAATGAAGTCATTGCAAATAAATGACTCGGATATTCCTAACGAAATTGACCAATATCCGGGAAGAGTCTCTGTCACTCGAGATTAAATAAAAGATGCGCCGAAGAAGAAAAAGCGCGTGTTAATATATTACATCGATGGATAATTGAAAAGGAAACGACCTACGTTACAAAATCTGTTAACATGTTATTACATCAAACATGTAACCGAAAAATGTGAACGATGAGTAAGCTACGTGCTACGCAACGCGGCTGCTTTCACGTAATTTGCTCATTTCTTTATGCGAGAAAGAGAGACGTATTACGAAAGAGGAGACCAACGAAGAGAGACCGCCTAAGGTTATGTCCGATCGCTTTCCTTTCTTTCGACTCTCCCCATAGTTGTTTCTTCCTGATGAACTTGCTTACGTTGTCAGACGCAATCCATTAATCGAGCAAGTTCGTCGATATTATCGCAGGTACTCTGCTCCGAATTCGATAATCTCTCGATAAAATGCAAAGGTTATTAATATTTAATAATAAAAATTGTTCAAACTTTCATTAAAATTTCTTCATTGTTATCTATCTTAAAACTTCCTGAATTGAAACATACACTGAAATGAAAACACACACACACACACACACACACACACACACACACACACACACACACACACACACACACACACACACACACACTAATTA